ACAGAGGCCGACAGTCTCGAAATTTCAAGGTGAATGACTTGGTCATGGTTTACTGAGATTTCCTGGTGACCTCGGAGTGTTGTAACCAACCCACTCCTGAACTCCGACCAAAGTGATATGGCCCGTTCGGGATCACTGAGCGAGTAGGCCCAATGGCAATGCTTTTCGTAGCCTAGGTCGTTCTTATTCAGTCCATGTACTGTGGTCTATGCACAGTGGAGTCACCATAATTATATGTACATTGGTACAGGTCTACTCTCGTTAGTGACGACATTGGTTACAAGACAAAACCTCATTACAGTCAGACCTCGCTTATCCGGTCCTCTTTTATCCGGATCCCTCGCCATCCGGAAGAAAATCGTTGGTTACCGATTTACAGCATATGTCAGCTCACTGACTTGTCAGTTTGAGCACTCTGGCAAGGTACGTTCGGGCCTGATTGGAAATTTTTATTCCCGTAGCTATGCAGAAGACGTTACTTCAGTAACGTCTGGCGCTAGCCAGGGTCCACACAGCTTTAATTTGGTGTTTGTTTGTTTGTGGCGGACGGACCTCCATATATCTGGCGCTATCCCGTATCTGTCCCGTACCGTACCATACCATCAAAGACAGCTGGCCACAAACAGCTGGCCACAAACAGCTGGCCACAATATTCAACGCATATTCAAATAGGGCTTTCAAATGCAAGATCATAACGTGAAGCAACTTGGAAGAATGAGTATGAATGCGAAGTGTATCGGGTAATGCATGTAGGGCGATTGTGCGGGTTCGAATCTCAGGTTATGCCTTGAAAAAAGAATAGGAAAATTGAAAAATTTATAACATCCCTATGCTTTTTTGCCTAGGTCATCAAGGTGGTAGACGGTGTCGTATTACCCTCGACCGGACCTGTCCCGTACCGTACCGTACCATCAAAGACAGCTGGGCCTGGCCACAAACAGCTGGCCACAATATTCAAATAGGGCTTTCAAATGCAAGATCATAACGTGAAGCAACTTGGAAGAATTAGTATGTATGCGAAGTGTATCGGGGGATGCATGCAGGGCGATAGTGCGGGTTCGAATCCCAGGTTATGTCTTTAAAAAATAGGAGAAATGAAAAATTTACTACCGGTATGCTTTTTTGCCTAGGTCATCAAGGCAAAAAAGCATAGCGTAGGGCCCTGAGCTTCCAAGCTCTCTCGTTTTCATTGCTATCAGGTTCGGCCTCATTTCCTCTGTGCTGCGCTGATGAGTTCACAAAGAACGAAACAGCATGCTGTCCGCAGATTGAGTATGTCATGATACATACAGTACAGTCTGTATCGGCTATAGAGTGACCTGGTGACCGGGTATAAGAATATATCGGCTACAGTGATATTGGTACGAAATATCAAAAGCAAAACGTATTTTATCCAGTAAAATATCACTATAACCAATATTATCGGATGTAATGATATATCGGATATTATGATGGCAACAAAGAATCAAAACATGCATAACACACTATAATTATAGGGCTTGAAAGTGCTACGTCACAGCATAGCAACAATTTCAAAAATTCAAAAATTGGATCCACTTGGATCCAGTTTTTGTATGGATCCAAGCACATTTCAAGCCGTCTTACTCTCAGCAAGGTGATGTAACCAGTGAAACTGACTGATTTGGCTACTGGGGGCGGGGTTACAACTGGTGGCGAAGTAAAAGTCACCCCTGCATACGACATGAGTGGGTTGCTATGCACCCACATACTGAGGCAATAGCAAAGTCACACCTTAGTGGATCCAAAATAGAAATCTGATGTCAACTTAGTACTCCCTGGCCGTTTTTGACGTCATCACTTTCAAGCCCTATTGTTATCGGCTATAGTGATAACTTTAAAATACATGTACAGGTCGTCCCTCGTTAATACATAATCTCTGGGACTTGACAAATGTTATGATTGTATTAACGGGGTTTATGTACTAAACGAAAGTGTACATATCTTGCTTGTGTATCAGAATTTTTCACTTTTTTCAACTTTTCAGAGTGTTTCTTGCTGCCATGACTAGGGAGCGAGATATTCTTGATTCCCTCGATATAACATAAAAATTATGTTATAACGGTCACAGTCAGCGAAGATTCTACAGTTTTACTGTAAGACCAGACATTTTACATGAGACCTGCCCAGTCGCACCTGTACAGTCACTCGGGGATAAACAGAGCTTTGTCAGTTTGTGATGTGCGCTCTGATTTCTGAGCTAATTGCGTCCACCAGTAGAAACTAGAACACGATGTGCCTCCACTGGAAGCCCAAAAGACCAACAAATTATGTACTATTGAGGTAAGTGGCATGCGGGTACGGAGAAATGTTATGTACTAACGGGGTTTATGTACTAACGAATTATGTACTAACCGACACAATTTATATGGAAGTGACCATGTTTCGTCCGGGACTTGAGATTTCTTATGTACTAACGGGGTTTATGTACTAACCGGACTCGTATTAACGGGGGACGACCTGTAGCAATAATATCAAAGGCCCTATTTTTTTACTTTTTTCACGTTGCTTGTTTTTATAGTGATACATGTACATGTATATAACATAATTTTTTGTATGGAAATGCGGGCACTGTCAACTATGCAGCATGCTCATTTGTCAAAACACCATGCTGGAAGTATTTCCTTGCCTTTCATGTGTCGATCGGAAAAAAGTCCATCGTATCGCATATAGTGATGCATCGGTTATACTGTAGTGATAAAATCACGGAAATCAAAAGGGTACGCTATAGCCGATACAGACTGTATGTGTGTTCGATTATCCGGTTCCCTCGCCTATCCGGATATCTTTGTGGAAAACAGATGACCATGTGTGTGGTTATGCGAGGTCTGACTGTACTTGTCATTTGCGCCATTTTGACAAAACCTATTGCAGGTTGATATACTGGTACTTGTAGTACCCAACTCACTATAACATGAACCTCGCTATAGCATAACACTTCGCAACCCCCAGAGATTACGTTATAGTGAGGTCTGACTTGTAGTGACCAAATTCATTTTGTCAAAAGACCTGTATTACAATGTACGGCAAAATAATGTCAATATTCTTGCATTCGATTAAGTTTGTGATTTCAAGTGGTGTCAGAGGATATGCAAAAGAGAAAAAGTTGCGTCCATGTGACCATGTCATGTGACCATGTCATGTAAAACAAAAGAGGGGCACAGTACAGTAAAACCGGAAAGTCTAACGTTTTAACGACCAATTTTTTTCGTTATTTCAAGAAATGTTATTGCGAACCCAGTTCGAGATATGTCTCTGCAATGAGGCGCATACATCGATGCATGTTCTGGGTGGCCAGGTAGCCATCGTTAAACTTTCTGCACGTTATGCCTTAAGCAAATTTAGGTCTGCGCCTGCTAAGGGGGCGTGTGAATCGGGCCACTTCCTGGTCACAACGGACACTTCGACAGTTAGCGGCAATGATTATTTTACACGTTGCAGTTAGAAAAATTCGGCACACTACATATGAAGAAATAAGTACAGGGGCAAGGAGCCATAAAAAGGTGCTTCGGAAAGGTCCGAGCAGAGAGACTATCTGGAAGAGAAAGTAAGCTGGCTGGCGGCAACCGTATGCAAAAAGCGAGGTTCGTTATTCCATACGGTACGGCAATTTGCTAATGTACGCTAAAGCCAGTGCTTCCAAAAAACATTGCGGAAAGTGCAGCGTGGACAGCACAAAGCCACGTGGGTGACTTCGAGAATTATGTTGCACGACATGCCAAAATTGCAAAAACGTTAAACTTTTGGTCGTTACACTTTCTGGTTTTACAGTATACAAGTTCGAATCATGTACAATTATACATACACATACACATGCACTTGTAGCATATTGGTCACTGGACATAGATCTATGCCGTAACCAAGTATGCAGTTTGTCAGTGCATGATCGCTTAGTCTTTTGATACCCCATTTCCATACAGTACATGTGGTATCGGTCATATGTCTGGCTGTCTTTGATGGTACGGTACGGGATAGCGCCAGGCATGCCGATGGCACAAACAAACAAACACGGAACGAGAGAGCTTGGAAGCTCAGGGCCCTACGCTATGCTTCTTTGCCTTCATGACCTAGGCAAAAAAGAGCATAGGGATGTTATACATGTTCCTATCAATTCCTCCTATTTGTTTTCAAGGCATAACCTGGGATTCGAACCCGCACTATTGCCTTGCATGCATCCCCTGATACACTTTGCATACATACTAATTCTTCCAAGTTGCTTCACGTTATGATCTTGCATTTGAAAGCCCTATTTGAATATTGTGGCCAGCTGTTTGTGACCACCCATCTTTGATGGTACGGTACGGTACGGGACAGGTACGGTCGAGGGTAATACGACACCGTCTACCGCCTTGATGACCTAGGCAAAAAAAGCATAGATATTATAAATTTTTCAATTCTCCTATTTTTTTCAAGGCATAACCTGGGATTCGAACCCGCACTATCGCCCTGCATGCATCCCCTGATACACTTTGCATACATACTAATTCTTCCAAGTTGCTTCACGTTATGATCTTGCATTTGAAAGCCCTATTTGAATATTGTGGCCAGCTGTTTGTGGCCAGGCCCAGCTGTCTTTGATGGTACGGTACGGTACGGGACAGGTCCGGTCGAGGGTAATACGACACCGTCTACCGCCTTGATGACCTAGGCAAAAAAAGCATAGATATTATAAATTTTTCAATTCTCCTATTTTTTTTCAAGGCATAACCTGGGATTCGAACCCGCACTATCGCCCTACATGCATTCCCCAATACACTTCGCATTCATACTCATTCTTTCAAGTTGCTTCACGTTATGATCTTGCGTTTGAAAGCCCTATTTGAATATTGTGGCCAGCTGTCTTTGATGGTACGGTACGGTACGGGACAGATACGGGATAGCGCCAGGCGTGACACAAACAAACAAATACCAAATTAAAGCTGTGTGGACCCTGGCTAGCGCCAGACGTTACTGAAGTAACGTCTTCTGCATAGCTACGGGAATTAAAGCTGTGTTACTTAAGTAACGTCTTTTGCATAGCTACGGGAATAAATATACAAGACTTAGTAATGCTATAGGTGACATCAAGAGTCCATAAACAAGAGTATGCAACTGTGATCTCTTTCCAGTCTATGGGCCAGATGCGCGGCGCGCTGCCTTCATTACATCATTCAGCTGCAGTCCACGCACTTCGGAAAATCAAATACAGCACTTAGCCTCTGGTTTGAAATGAATTTTTTAACGGAACTGGAGTTCACGCGCCAAAATTTAGAGATCGCGACGGTACTGGAACGAATCGAGCAAAAACGGATGGGCTCGTACGAGAAATTGTGGGTTTGAATGCATGCTTTCAGAGCGTGATACAGGCAAGTTAGGTAATGAAGGCAGCGCGCCGCGGATTCACCCATAACCACAGTTGTCAGTGTTTATGCACTTTTGGTGACATGCACTGTATACAGCGGCATAATCATCACAATGCAACAATAAATCAATGGTCTATGGCAGCTCAACAGATCGATCAGCACAAATTCCTATAATCGGTCAGGATTGTCCTAGTAAAATAATAATAATTCCCCTCAACTCAAACAGCCAGTTGCTCTTGCTAGGTCACATGCATCGGCTGATTTCAAGCGTCGTGCACAGAGCACATCTCTCGTTTCTTTCCAAAGGCGGCCAATCTCAGCATACTTCGACTTGGAATCGATTTTCCATCCCTTCTCCATGGTGAAGTGGACAAGACGTATATCAGATTTCTTACTCTGCCACAGGGACTTGTCCCATAACCAAGCTGCCAAGTTTGCATTATCCTCAAAAGCCAGCTTTGTCCACACATTCTTGTAAATTACGGACAGAAATCCTTGCTCAGACATTGTGGATTCATACTCAACACTGTCACTTTCCAGCAAGTTGAACAGACGGACAAACTCTGTTCGATTAGTCGGTATTACAGCAACACCCATATTGAATCCATCCACCCACTTGCCGTTGAATATATCCTGTGCTACAGCAAGTGGTTTATTCGAAGCCATACTAACCGGTGTGGCGAGCAGCCGCTCCAGTCTTCCCACAGCTAGAGTGTCGGCATCCATGTAAACGACACGTTTGTACTGCACCATGTTCCACATAAGAAGCTTGACAAACTGATCCTTGAAGCGAGCAAAATCGGACGGACGCGGCGGCTTAATAGGTGGCGCGTGGCAGATACGCCAGCCAGTATCATGAAGTCGTCGCATGCAAAGCTCGTCACAGTCTGTACCTTCCAACACCATGAGTACACGCGGCACGCTCTTTGGAGCAAACCTGTCCAGTGACGTTCCCAAAACTTCCAGTCCTAGAATATAATCTAGAAGCAGTGATGGTACGGATGCAGATAGAAGACTTACTATAGCCAGCTCGCCAGGGTTGCCAGGTGTATGGGGCCATGAGTGATCCTCCGTGAATCTGCACGTGTACTTTAGCAGCTTATCAGAGCCATTCACTCCACTGAGACTTTGGGAATAGTTTCCGAAAGCTGTGCGCTCCGTTATACTAGGTACGCCTATTCCATCTCGAACGGGCGATGGAGAAGATATATTGCCCGCAGGCGCACATGCTGTGGGCAGTGTCACTGTGGCATGGGTATCTCCTGCAGAGGTCAGCGGCGAATGCGAGCCTGTCTTCCTATCCTGGTGACGTTGAAAGACACTCCTCAGCTTCGTCGGATTACGCTGCCAAGTGAATGCTGCAAGGAGCAGACACATCGCGATTCCAAACCAGAAGAAATATCGACTCGTACTAGTACCGGCAGAGTTAGTCATGGCTCCTATGGCAGCGCGCGCGCGGTGAACCGGAATGGCGATCAAAAAACATTTCGGCATTCTGTTCTCGTCGACGCCATGCACCAATGTCAGGCAATGGCAATGGCAATGATTGCCAATGAATGGCTATGTCTATGATGACTTATGACTATGACTCTATTTATGAGCAAGACTACATAAACCATGTAAACCATGCATGTAAACCGGTTTATGTCATGAGTGATTGACATGACAGACTCCGACTCAGTCAGTGTCAGTTCTCGGTCAGCTTGTTTATCGCTACTCTTTAAAAAAAGAAAAAGAAAAAAAAGCCCGCAAATAATTATCGCCCTCATCTCATGAGCTCATCGATCATCTCTTCTGTTCTTGCCCGACGTCTCGCGATATCTGCTCCCAGGTAGGGGTGCGCGGATTATTCCCGGAATAATTTGGGAATACTATCGTCGAGAAAATTTTGGGAATTTTAGGGGAATTCTATCGATCTTTTGCCAGATCCATTGACCTTCAGAAGAGTTTTGGGGGAATTCTGTCAATTTTGACCTGCCAGAGAACAAGCTCGCATCCATGGCCATGGACGCACGTACATACATGTACATTTAAAGGGGAAGTTAAGGCAAAAAATAAAATTTCACCAGTTGTAGTCTTCGGGGTGCTGAGTCGAATGGTCGTGGTCCGAGGAAGCTGAGACGCTCCCTTCCTACTTGAATCCCAATCGAACTCGCGCACTTCCACCGAAACTGGGTGAGTGCACCCTACTAGATGGGGATTTGTATGCAAAATGTCACTAAAAGCGCCATTTCGTTCTTATAAAAGCACGGATGACCGCGATTGGCCCATATGTTGTAGTCTTTTGGACGCTGAGTCGACTGGTTTTGGTCCGAAAAGGCTGCGATGCAGCGTTCCTCCTTTATTCCCAATCGAACATGGTTGAACAAGCGGTCACGTGCTCCTGCGTACGCCAGTCACCTGGTCACCGTGCCTGCAGGGTACAACTTACTAGCCTGTTTGACCTTTTTTGGGTGCAGTCCTGTCACTCGAGTTGAACCTGTAGTAGAATACTACGGACCTGGCTCGCTCACACAACGTCGTCTGGAGAGTCTAACTCAAAAACTAATCTTTCATGGATATGTTATGCATTATATCATGTCATGGACTACGGAGCTTAGGCTAGGATCAGTACGGTGCTTGCACATAACAGACAGCAGGCTGACCAGGAATAGAAAGCTACATAATCACACAATGTGTCGGCAAGAACATCAGCAGACCTAATCAACCATAATCAACTATATTTCTAAGGGGTCGTCACAAGGAGGGAAATCTGGCGACCATCTGGTGGAATAGCGATACCTACACCTACATAGAACACCAAACAATGCACATCTATGGTTCTAGCACAAGCACGGCAGGGCATGTACCTGTCAGCAGTACGTAGTACAGTCATAGTCATACATAGATGTACCATGCAACTGAGTTACTCGCTAGTCAATGCAGGACATGCAAGGATGGCACCTTGTCCAGTACAGTACAATCACACCCCTCTCCTAGGTGACATCTCCACTCGACTCTAGCCATTGTATCTAGCTGGACGCGCCAAGGTTCCACGGTCACGTAGGACATAAGCCGGTGCAGGGCGATCGTCGTCGTCGTCCGCTGGCTCCGGCTGGTCAAGCCACATCTCACCATCACCGTCGTCACGCCCATCGTCGGCGCTCGTGTGCGCCTGCTCCGTCGCTCCTGGACGCGGAGCACCATCCTGCTTGGCACTCTGTGGGTGTCGTACGTCAGGCTTGAGAAGGTTGATGTTCACGACTTTCTCCCCGCCATCATCTCTGGTGATGACTACTGTCGACGGCGCAATGATCTTCTTCACTTTCCAGCCGCACTGGTATGGCGGAGTCAACTTGCGTCGCCGGCCAGGCTGTTTCAGCATCACACGTTGCCCCTCTGTGTAGGGTGCCTCGAACTTGGTGATTGGCTTCTCCGGAGTCGTAGCAGCAAGCTCCACCTCCACGTGGTCGCGGACCCTTGCTGCTGTCTCGCCAACTCGGTCAACCCACTCGCTCAGTAGGGCTTCTGGTTCCTCAGCCTCGATGATCAGCTGGCGCGGCTGCCATGAACACATGGCCAGCATCGGCGGTATGGCTGTCGTGGTGTGTGGCCTCGTGCGGTAGTAGTAGAGCAGCAGATCCAGCTCAGTTTTCCAATCTGCTGCTTCTGTGAGGACCTTCCGCATCAGCGTGATGATGGTCCTGTTTGCCCTCTCGACACCTCCCTGGGACTGCGGGTGACGTACGGCCCCTGTCTTCACACGCACGCCGAACCGTACGAAGAGAGCTCGGACAACGGCGTTCTTGAACTCGGAGCCATTGTCCATACGGACTTCGTCTGGCGGGCCCCAACGGCAGCAGAGGCTGGTCAGCGCTTCTGCAACACTGATCGCATCGTGCCGCCTGAGAGGGATTGCCTCGGCCCACTTCGTAAACACATCCACGCACACCAACACGCAGTGGTACTGACCGGATTTCTCCTCTCCCAGGTGAAGTGTGTCGATCTGAACGACACTCCACGGCCGCCCAGGCAGGTCTGGCTGCGTCGGCGGCGCTGCGGGTCCTGCGTGGCTGCTAGCGGCTGCACACTGTCGGCACTGGTCACAATACTCCCGGCACCTAGCCGCCATGCTGGGGAAGAAGCAACGTGCGCGGAGCATGTCGTACATCACACTCCAGCTGGCATGCCCGGACATCACGTGGGCCGACTCGAGAACGCTGTGCTCAAGGCACTCCGGAACGATCGGCACAGTGACAACGCCGAGTGCAGGCAGCTTGAGCGTGCGGCTCAGCTGGCCGTCCTTGATGACGAGCTGTTCACGAATCTTCCGGTAGGTGGCGTGCTGAATCTCGCTGTCGCTCTCGATAGCACTGACCAGCGTCTGAATCAACGGGCACTTCCGCTGGGCATCACAGACGTCGTCACAGCCAATGACGGTCGCCGGCTGCTTCATTGCCATGGACGCGGCAACTTCCGGAGATTCGTCGCTCTCGGGAACGCGAGCTATTTGCAGCCACTTCTTTGGGACACGGGTCAGTCTGTCAGCGACATTCTCGTTCGTCGGTACCCAGCCAACTGTTACCTTCAGGCCAGCCGTTGCGACTAGGTCTTCAATGATGTCCAGACGGCGCACAACGAGAAGCTTGTGGAGGCCAGTGACCCTGACTCGTCTGACGTTCCCGAGGACCTGCGACACCCAGCCTGCAACCGCCTTCGAGTCAGTCACTAACGTCACCTTCTCCACCTTGTACTCCGCGGCGAGTGTTAGCGCCCTTAAGACGGCGTCCAGCTCGGCAATGTTAATGTGTTTGTGGTCACGTGGCTCGCGCAGCCACGAGCAGTCTTCGATCGTAGTACCATCGTGCTGCAGGGAAGCTCCAATGGCGACGTCCGACGCGTCGCAGAACACGGTCCAGCCGTCGCTATCCAGCGATGGAACACGCCACGCACCTCTTGCAGGGTCTGACTCCCGGACCATGTCGGCCAGCTCTGCGCAGCACCTGGCGACCGCTTCTGGCACGGCGTCATCCCAGCCATCAGTTGAGCAGGCCTGTCGCTTCAACCACGCACATGCCGGGCGGAGCCACGAGCACACTGGGTAGTGGCTAGTCAGGCGTCCCGTCCACTTGAAGACCTCACGCTTTGTCAGCGGCTGTTCGAAGCCAAGGTTGACACCTCCTCTACGAGCCCAGTTGACCGGCACGTCACTTTCCTTTGACAGTTGGAGACCGAGAACTCTGGCCGCGGTGAGCGGTTCTGCGGGCTTAGTCGGCAGACCGTAGCGGTGAAGAGCGGACGTCACAGCTTGCTCTTTCGCTCCCGGAACGAGCACATCGTCGACGTAGCTATCAACATCCTGCCACTCTCGGGTCACCCAGCGGACGATGATGTCCATCACCTTGGGCGCGACGGACAGGCCGAAGCCCATCCTCGTCATCACGTACAGCTTTTCTCGCCAAACGACAACCTGGTAGCGGGCGAGCGACGGGTCTACATGAACCTGGAGATAGGCCTTCCTGATGTCGATTAGCTTGCACTCTTGATCGCCGGCCATGCGCCACTTCCGCAGTTTATCGGCGCAAACGGGCGCCTCGGTCCCCGGATTGGATTTGATGACACCGTTCAGTGCTCGGTAATCTAGACACGGCCGGACTGGGGTAGAGGCTTTGTGTTCTTGGACCTTGGCTAGCAGAGGCAGGATAGCTGCCGGCTCCCCGTGTACGGATGGGTCGTGCTCCACCAGCCAGCCGTTCTCCACCCAAGCATCGACTTCGGTACAGAAGCTGGCTTCCTGCTCCGGCGACAGCCGCTTCCGAGAATACTGTCCGATGCCGGAACCGATCTGTTTGGTTGGCGGTTCATCATCAGCCCACATCCATCGCACGATCCAGCGCTGGCTTGCGCTGTCCCACCGGACCTCGCTGTCGTCCGTTCTCAGCACCACATCTTCTCCGTCCTTGCTCACAGTCACGTGCCGAGAAGGGTGAGCGGCCGGCACTGTCGCCGCCACGATGGCAGGACGGTCAGTTTCTGGGGCGCCGAACTGGACACTCGACAGGGAACCATCGTCACCATACCCGAGGTGAACTCCTCCGACAGCCGCAATCACGTCAGCGCCAACGAGGACGTCTGCATTCACAGCGTCCAACTTCCGGACAACGAAGGCTTTCACTTGCGTCCGCGGAAGATGAACCGGGCAGCCCGCCTCTACTCGCTCTACCAGCAGCTCTACGGCTCCAAGCAGCTCGACTGCGCTGCCGTTCAGGGCGTTCATCTGGACTTCAGTGTCGGGTTCATACTCGATGCCATGGTCAGTAAGGAAAGCCTCAGCCACCAGAGAGCGTGTGGCGCACGTGTCTACTGCTGCCCTTGCTCTCTTCCATGCACTCGTGCTTTGGTCCCGCGGCTTGACATCGACGTACACCCTGGGCAGAGTCCCCTGTCCTGCCTTCGTCACTGTGCAGAGGCACTTGTCAGTGCTAGCTCCGCGCTCACCAGCAGCTGCAGCAGCAGTGCCGCCCTTCGAAGCCGCTTCCCATCGC